TTTATTCTCTTACTGATTTTAATTTTCTCTCCTATCCCTACTTTTTGACAACTTGATTATTTTATGCATAGGGGAATGTCTTTCTCAGTCGAGTGTGGTTGAGGTTCTTTGAGCTTCCTATATCTGAGTATCAATGTTTATTTCAAGACTTGAAACTTTTTACCTCTTGTATTAATCAGTATGTTTTCAATGCTTTTCTCTTCTTTTACCCTTCAGGTGTCTCTATAATATGAATATTTGATTAATGGTATCTTGCGTGTCTTGCAGGATTTTTTCATTATCGTAATTCCTTTCTGTTTATTTTTTATTGACTGGATCAGTTAAAATTCTTTCCCTCAAGATCATAAGTTCTTTCTTACACTTGATCTATTCTATTGTTGAAATTCCCTCTTGTATTTTTTATTTCAGTGATTGATATGTTGAACTCCTAGATTTCTGATTTTTAAAAGTAATTTCCATCACTTTGGTTTTCTCATCTCTTTAAATGGCGTGTTTGTATTCTCTTGACTTTCACTGAGTTTTTTTTTTTTAAGATTATTTATTTGTTTGAAAGACAGAGTTACAGAAAGATATATATATATATATATATATAGAGAGAGAGAGAGAGAGAGAGAGGTGTCAATCTTCCATCTGTTGGATCAGTCTCCAAATGGCCACATTGGCTCTTGATGGGCCAGGCTGAAGCCAGGAACCAGGACCTTCCTCAGCCTTCCATGTGGCTGGCAGGGGCCCAAGGATTCGGGCCGTCCTCTGCTACCTTTCCAGGAGCAGTAGTTGAGAATTGGATTGGAAGTGGAACAGCTGGGCCTCAAACTGGCACCATATTGAATGCTGATAGGCCACAGTGCCCGTCCCTCATTGAGTTTTCTAAGTATCATTATTTTTGATTCTCTTTGCAGCCATTTCATAGATTGCCTTCTAATCACGATCTGTTTCTGGGGAACTATTGTGTTCTATTGAGGAGTCATGTTTATCTGGTTCTTCATGTTTCCTGTGTCCCTACATTGACATCAGTGCATCTGATATAATAGGTCCTTCTTTATGCAGTAGGTTTTGATGGAAAATAACTTTTTGTTTACATGGAACGTGGGTTATTACTCTGGTTATGGGTTTTGTTTTGGTTTTAGGTGAGCCTAGATGTGTAATCATTGAGTGATTTCTTAAGATTTAATCAATAGCAGTAGTATTTATGAGTGTCACAATTGATTAGTCTACAGCAGTTCATTGATATAGAAGTATGACTCTGAAGTGGATATGGGCTTTTAGGGTTGACTCTTTGACGTCTAGATTTTTTGATGTCAGTCACACTAGAGTTTGTGATGGTTGTAGCCTGTGATTGATGCTGTAAGAGGGGCCTGTTCCTGTGTCCTTCCAGGGAAACTTGAGAGATGCTGGGGCTTCAGGCCCAATATCTGTGGTTCTGGGATTCTGTGATGTGTGTGAAACCTTCCGTAGCTCCTGCCATCCCTGTGTGTGAATGATGCTTGAGAGTACAGCACCAAAGATCCTAGTCTCCTGGGAGACCCTGTGGGATGTGAAGGGGAACTGAGTCACGGTCCTATAGGTAGATTCATGTTTTGCTGGGGACTGCGCATTGGAAGTCTTGGTCTGGAGTGGCAGAATGCAGGAAGCTGCTCTCCTGCTTCTGCAGAGTGCATTTTAGTACTAACAGTCACATCCTGGAGCTTCAAGTCCTTAATCAAGTCTCAGGGTGAGTGGCACTTTTTCTGGGCATTGTGGACTGGCAGCCTGAAGCAGAGGAGTGCAGACTCCAGGTACCACAGGTGAGGACTGGTCACTCCAGGGGTGTGGCACACGGTGACGTTCCAGAGCTGAAGCATGTGGTGGAACTGCCCCAGTCCCCGCAGGACTGCAATGGTTTTGCTGAGGCTTGTGTGAAGGCGCCCAGTACTATGATCCACGAGTTGAAAATGAGGGATTCCTCAGATTGAATAACCTGCAGTTTCTTGTGGGTTGTGCTGCTGCCAAGTCCCAAGAGGCCGAAGGGAACTGTCCTAGATTACAGAGTGAACGAGTGTGGCTCCGGAGCTTGTGCACAGAAATGTCACAGCTACAGAATGGAGGGGACTGCACTCTGTTCTGGAGAGCACCTTGTCTGTGGCTCTGGGACTTCTGGGGCTACGGGGACGCTTGCTATCTACTAGGTCTGGACTAAGAATAGACTTGTAGCAGTGGCTATACCAGAGCAGCTCAGGTTCATCACTTTGGGGGCGGCGGAGGCAATGTGGATTACAGGTTTTGGAGCAAAGGAATTGCTTGGACCCCAGTCAGCTTTCTAGATCAGATTTAAAGTCAGTGAGGATAGGGGCCAGCCTTGTGATGTAGCAGGTTCAGCCTCCTCCTGTGACGCTGGCATCCCATGTAGGTGCTGATTCAAGTCCTGGCTGCTCCACTTCTGATCCAGCTCTCTGCTATGGCCTGGGAAAGCAGCAGAGGATGACCCAAGTGCTTGGGCCCCTGCCACCCATGTGGGAGACCCAGAAGAAGCTCCTGGCTCCTGGCTTTAGCTGAAACTTAATTAGTCTCTATTGACTACCTGTTCTCTTCTCCACTTTAGCAGTACAAACTAAAAGAAATGGATATGCAATGTCAATATGCAATAGCATGATTTATTATTATCTATGCTGACATCTTTTTTGATCATTGGTTTAGAAATATGAACATATGGATTTACATATTAATATTAAATACTTGTAAAGAAATAGTTTACCATTTTTTTAAAAAGAAGAAATTTTATTATATCTTTACAACTTTGGTGTAAGCTTAGTGAATACCCTACACAATATCACAATCTCAGCTCTCCCCATACGTCCTTCGAAGACCACTGGGCATAAATGGTATCCCCATCTTTGTGTGCATGCTTCACCTCAAATCCATTTACTTTCTGTTTCTGTTTTTATAGTATTGTCTTCCCCACAACTGTAATTCACCCATAGTTACCATAACTTCTACTATTTTATCATTATAATGGGGATCAATGTGGGGCAAAGTTGTTTGCTTTTTGGACAATTTTTAAAAAAGACTTATTTGAAAGGCAGAGAGAGAGAGAGAGAGAGAGAGGATCTACCTTCTGCTTGCTAACTCCCCAAATGGCCACAATAAATAAGTCTGGGTGGGCTAAGCCAGGAGTCAGAATCTCTTATCGTCCATCGGCTGCTTCACTCTCTAGTTGAATGCAATGGACAAGGCTGGGACTTGCTGAGGCCAGGAGCTTCATCCTGGTCTCCATGTGGGTTTCAGGGGGCCAAATATTTGGGTCAATTTCCAATGCTTTTCCTAGACCATTAAAGGTAGCTGGATAGTCAGTGGAGCAGCCGGGATGCTAACCAGTGCCCGTACGGAATGTTGGCACTTCAGGAGACAGCTTAATCTGCTGCACAACACCGACCCCAGATCCTTTCTTTGAAAAGTATATGCACATGAAATAATGTTCTTGCAAGTATACCTGTGACAGAACTCCACACCTTCTACAATTACTGTATTTTTATTAATATTCAATTCAAAATTTTGAAAATTTCCATTGAGATTCTTCTTGAAATATGAATTACTTAGAAGTGAATTGTGTTGAATTGCTAATGAGCTAAAAGTAATTTATATGCTTAGAAACTAAATGGTAGTAAGACTTCATTTGTTTTTTCTGCAAGAACTAAGTTATCTAGTTTAACTAGGAGTCAGTCAAGATGTGCTGGTGTTTTATTTTGTCCATAGTGAAGTGAGAGAGTAAGCTGCTTGTGGGCTTCAAATCACCTGTGAAGCAGTGGTGACTCCTAACATCAGAGTTGTATCAGTGAGCACAGTTGAGATAATTACTTCTCAAGAACATCCCAAGAAGTCACCACATGTCCGCTTGCACACCTCTAGATGGGTATGAGTGATGTTTTAATTATCGTCTTTCTATCTCATGTATTAAATGCAATATTTGTATACATACATTGTGTGTACATGCATTTATAATTTTGTATGAGAGTATCATGCAAGGGTTTACTCAGAAAGCAGAAAATTTGTTAGCTATGTAGATCAGAACCACACAGCTCATCTGAACTTTGCAGAGAACAAAGGAGTAATTGTGCTGTTATTTTTATTGACAGTTTCCCATAGACTTTTCTTCTCGTAAGTCCATAATTTTTTTGATTTGAAACAACTCATTTTCCTTCTCCACAATCATAATATCTCATGTTATTTCTTCATGTAAGGTAAAACTATTATCATATAAATTTTTTATTAAATGAGAAAAAGTAATGTTTCAAACTTTTGAAAACATTTCTCCTTGTGTATTTAAGGAAGACATTTCCAGAGAAGCTACATTTAAAACAACAATTAAGAATTAAAAACTTTAATTTAAAGGATTAAATTATGAAGAGCAGGGGTAATAGGATTATGATTTGACAATTTATCATTTTGTTTTCTAAATGAATATAAATGCCTTTAGAATTTTCTCTAGCTAAATCAGAATTAGGATAGACACGTGATGTGGTTTTAGAAATGGGAGTATAATGAAAACTCAAAGTGATTTTGTTAAGTAATACATAACAGGTGAAAGATGTTGTACAGTGTTGGGAACATAGGTAGCCTTTAACAAATTGTGGGCCGGCGCCGCGGCTCACTAGGCTAATCCTCCGCCTGCAGTGCCGGCACACCGGGTTCTAGTCCCGGTAGGGGCGCCGGGTTCTGTCCCGGTTGCCCCTCTTCCAGGCCAGCTTTCTGCTGTGGCCAGGGAGTGCAGTGGAGGATGGCCCAAGTGCTTGGGCCCTGCACCCCATGGGAGACCAGGAGAAGCACCTGGCTCCTGCCTTCGTATCAGCGCGGTGCGCCAGCTGTGGCGGCCATTGGAGGGTGAACCAATGGCAAAAGGAAGACCTTTCTCTCTGTCTCTCTCTCTCACTGTCCACTCTGCCTGTCAAAAAAATACAAGAAAGATAGAACCACAAATTGTGGCCATTATTTTTGTGCCATTAACATCTTTGTTCACATTTGGTAATCAATGAATATATACAAAGTTTATTTTTGCAGTTTAAGTTGTAAGAATCTAAGTGTTGGATTTCAAAACACATTTTCATAATAAAAAGTACAAACTGTACATCTTGGGTTATCCAGAGCTTTCTGATCTGAGTCAGTTATTGGCTGTTCAGTTTACAGTCAACACGTGGCAAAAGAGAGCCACACAGTGTGTTTTCTCGCCATGTGAGATTGCTAACAATTATCCCTTGAGTTCACATGCTGATTTGTCAGCCTCTTTATGGCATTCTTAATCTCTTTATTTCTTAGTGTGTAAATGGCTGGATTCATGAGAGGTGTGATTACAGTATAAAACACAGCCAGAAACTTGTTCACCCAGGTGATACTTACTGGCCACAGGTAGATGAAGATGCAGGGTCCAAAGAACAGCACCACCACTGTGATGTGAGAAGTACAAGTAGAGAGGGCCTTGGATGCACCCTCTTTAGCATTAAGATGGATGGTAAACAGGATATAAGTATAGGAGACCAGCACGAGAATGAAGCAAGTTGTTGCCAAAAGCCCACTGTCTGCGTTTATAACTATTCTTAAAGTATCGGTATCCATACAGGCTAGTTTGATCACCAAAGGAATATCACAAAAAAAGCTGTCCACTACTCTAGGTCCACAGAAAGGCAGCTCCAAGATCATAGCCAGTTGGCTCATAGCGTGAACAAAGCCAATGATCCATGATGTCAAAACCAGCCAGATGCACTTCTGTCTGTCCATGATGCTGGAGTAATGGAGTGGCTTGCAGATGGCCACATAACGGTCATAGGCCATTGTCACCAGAAGAACCATCTCACCCCCTCCAAAGAAATGCACACAGAGAATCTGGGCCATGCAGCCCCCAAAGGAAATGGTCTTATCATCCTTTAGGAGGTCAGTGATCAGTTTAGGGGTGGTCACAGAGGAAAGGCACGAGTCTACAAAGGAGAGATTAGCTAAGAGGAAGTACATGGGGGAATGGAGATTGTGGTCGGTGATGGTTAATAGCACGACAAAGAGGTTGCCCAAAACTGTCATTAGGTAGAGTATAGAAACCGGCAGTAGGAGGATCACCTGGAGCTCCTGTGAGTCACAAAGTCCCTGAAAAATAAACTCAGACACCACTGACTGGTTTGCTTCTTCCATTTACAGAGTGTGTGCTACTGGGACCCAAATACAAAGAGATGAATAAGGGCTTCTGCAACAGAAGCAAGAACTTAATGATCAGGAACTAGAGAGCAGAAATTTACTGAAATGCTGGCATTGCACTAAACTCAAAATTGCAAATCAGTTTATCTTGGATGTAGATGTGTGCACAACATTGTGGATAAGAAAAACTAAGTATAGAAGAGCAGATAAATATTTTATTCATCAGAAATACTTTTCTATTTCTTGATTCATTTAAGAAATTGTTTTAAATTTAAAAATTTAAACAGACATACAAAAATACATACTAATGGAGTACTGTGTGGTGTTTTGCTAGATATATATGTTGTATAATGGTTAGCGTAAGTTCATTTAACTCTTCAAACATTTAACTTTTATTTATGGAAAAAAATGCAAAACTCTATCTTCTAGTTTTCTTTTAGAGAAATACACAGTACACTAATATCTGATCTCACGTTACTGTACAATAGAGCCCCAGGACTCTTCACTCCTATCCAGCTATAACCTCGTAGACTTTAATCAGCCTTTTCCTCTCTTCCCTCCTCAGCCTTTGGCAACCAACATTATTCTTTTAACTTCTGTCGGATCACATTTTATTAAAGATTCCTCAATGGAGTGAGGTCATATGACATTTGCATTTCTCTGAGTGACTTATTTAGAAGTATAATTCTTATTGTCAAAAATTAATATGATGATTGAAAACGTGGTAATAAATGTTCTCAAGTTCTTGAATCTGCCCCTCCTGCAAGAGATCAGGAAGACATCTTCAGTAGTCGTAAAATATATTCTGAGGATCCGTATTTATCAGATTGGATACAGCCCCCAAATCTAATGCTACATTTCAGATACAAACACACAGCTCTCAGAAATAAATAAATTAAAAAACCAATAACAATTAGTTCACATTTATATTCAAATAATTCAACATCATCATTAGCCTTGAGACTATATTGTCTTATTAATGTTAATTACTGATTTTGTCTGTGTTTACTACTTTGATTAAAAGATAGAACAGCCAAAATGCAAAAAGAATAAGATAACAGGGAAAGATAACTGGTCTCTAAAAACCATTCTTTCCCAACATGTGTATCTGAAAGCATGTAAGACTGTTTTTTATTAGTGTGTGAAACTCTGCTTTAAGGACTACTGAAGTCTCTGGGGTTAGTTGGGAGAGAAATCTTATATTTTTGGTAATCATAGAAACTAAGTAACATTCAGAACTCTAAGACTAATAATACAGGTATTGAAAAATGCTAAACTGAAAATATTATCAAACCAGTGGATGGGATGGAAAGTGAAGTTAAAACCAGATAGCTTGTAATACACTTACCCTACAGGAATCTGACACCAGCTGGTTCTTGGCAGACTAAGCTCACTCCAGATTCCCTGAAGTCTGAAGTGAGGTCCAGTTTGTTTTCTGCAGTGAGCGGTGTTGGTGATGACTATCTCATTCCAGGTAATATAAACCTGTATACCGCAGACAGTAGTCTCCGGGCTGGAAACCTTCCAGTTCTGTGTTTTAAATGGGGCCAAGTGTTCAGAAAGACTTTTGCTTTCATGCTCCTCAGGGATCCTTAGCTTCTCCCTTTCTCTGAATTGAAGATATTGTGTAATACTGGACCCTTTTCAACAAAAGCTTCCACTTAGTTAAATGCAGCTATACATGTAAGATAAGGAAGCATAAACAGAAAACAAAGTGTTGGCCAAGTAGTGGTTAAGACTCTGGTTGACTACCTGGATGGCAGTGCTTGGGTTCAATCCCTGGCTCTGCTCGTTGCCCCTGCTCCCCGCGGATGAGAACCTGGCAGGACAGCAGTGACCTGCTTCCTGCTTCCTGCCACCCACCTGAGGGGCCTGGGTTGAATTTGTGGGTCCTGGTTTTGGTCATCTGCTGGGCATGACCCAAGGCCACTGGTGGCATTGGAGGAGTGAAACTGCAGATGGGAGTTATCAGTCTTTCTGTCTCTGTCTCTCTCTCATATGAATGAATGAATAAATAAATAAATAAATAAATAAAATTAGCATTGGCTAGGATGTCAAATTTGGAGCCTTCTGACGTTAAGCTGCAACAGATAGAGAAAATAGTGAAAATTCTTCTTGCTGTGGGCACTGTGGGCACGGTGAATTAAATCATTTCTTAGGACTCCGACATCTGGTATCAGAGTGTCTGGTTCTGTCTGGCTACTCTACTTTCTATCTAACTTCCTGCTAGTGTGCCTGGCAGGCAGTGGATGATGGCCCAAGTACTTTGGTTCTTGCCCTCCATGTGGGAGATCTGGGTGGAGTTCCTGGGTCCTGGCTTCAGTCTGGCTTGACCACAACTGTTGCATGTGTTTAGGGTAGTGAACAGCATGTGGTAAGTATCTCTCTCTCTGTCTCTGTCATTATGCCTTTCAAATAAATAAATGAGTAAGTGCTTTCAAAAATTGATAAATAGAGCTATCCTGTGACCCAGGAATCCCACCACGGGTTTTATATCTAAAGGAAATGAAATCAGTCCATCGGACAGATACCTGCACACTTGTATTCATTGCAGGATTCTGAATAGCCAAGATATGGGAACTACTTAGTGTTCATGAACAGATGAATCAAAAATATGGTGAAGTGGAATATCATTTCACATTAACAGACGTGGAGTAGGAACTCTGTGCAGCAGGTAAGATGACAGCTGGGACTCCCAGAACCCACGTCAAAGTGCCTGGGTTTGCACTGTGGCTCCACTCTGCCTCCCACCTCCCCACTCCTGCTGATGAGTACCCTGAGAGGGGCGGATGACGGCTCAGATGCGTGGGTCCCTCAGACACGTGGAACACCTGTGGAGAGCTCCTGTCTCTGACTGGGCTGTTGCAGGATTAGGAGAGTGAACCGATGGATGTGAAATCTCTTTCTGCCCTTCAGATATTAAGTAACTTTTACAACTTTAAAAGAGGAAATGCTGCCATTTGGAACAACATGGATGAATCTTAAGAACCTCAAACTAAGTGAAATGAGCCAGTCGCAGGAAAGACAAATGCTGCACGAGTTCACTTCCATGAGCTATCCAAAGTAGTCAGACTTACAGAAGGAGAACCACAGTAATGGTTTCCAAAGGCTGGGGAAGGGGGCAGGGAGGCATTAAGTGATTACAATGATTCAGTTTTTCTAGATGATTAGATTCTGGAGATCTGTTGTACAAGATAGTGCCCATCATGAATACAAAACAAATAAAATTGCAGGTACTAAATACATGTAATTATTGTATATCATTTTTACTTGAATAAAGCTGTTGAAGTGTTTTGTTATTATATTTGTTAGGAAGATATAACACTCTTAAACCTATCATATAATAAACTGAGTCACGATGCCAGCTCTAGCCCTAGCAGATGTTTGATGAATTGTTTAAATGAGCAGGTTACAGCCAGATTAGCGTTGGTGTGTAGCCACTGTGGTTTTGACTTAAAAGGCCAACTTGATTTTCTGCTTCCTGTGACTCAGAATAGCATTGGATATAATCTTCTCAGTATTCTTTGAAAAGATGCTTTGAAATTCATATCTTGAGTGTAAAACTACTATGTTTTATGAACATATCTCTAAGTACTGAAAGATAATAGAAGGTTATATTCTAATTAATTTTTATTGAAGAAATAATTTATCAATACATATAATAAGATTCAAATTTTTTTTTTGACAGGCAGAGTGGACAGTGAGAGAGAGAGAGACAGAGAGAAAGGTCTTCCTTTGCCGTTGGTTCACCATCCAATGGCTGCCACGGCCTGCGCACTGCGGCCAGCGCACCGTGCTGATCTGATGGCGAGAGCCAGGTGCTTATCCTGGTCTCCCATGGAGTGCAGGGCCCAAGCACCTGGGCCATCCTCCACTGCACTCCTGGGCCATAGCAGAAAGCTGGCCTGGAAGAGAAGCTTGGCCTGGAAGAGGGGGCAAACCGGGGACAGAATCCGGTGCCCAGACCGGGACTAGAACCCGGTGTGCCGGCGCCGCGAGGCGGAGGATTAGCCTAGTGAGCTGTGGCGCCGCCCCAGATTCAAAAATTAATTAGATACATTGATGGTAAATTTTGCAGGCCTCCTTCATTTCCCCTTTCCTCTTGTTCACTCTTGGATGAGTAACTGCCGAGCCAAAGTTTCTGTACATAATGAGCAGTGCACACACAGCGTCCTCTGAGGTTTTGTTTTCCAGTGGCAGTTACCCATGGACAGCAGTGGTCTGGAAGAAGGAAGGTGAGTACTGTGCAAGATGTTGAGAGGGAGGCAGGGAGGGAGAGAGGGAGAGGGAGAGGGAGAGAGGAAGGGTGGGAGAGGGAGAGAGGGAGAGAGGGAGAGAGGGAGAGGGAGAGAGGGAGGGAGGGAGAGGAGAGAGGGAGGGAGGGAGAGGGAGAGAGGGAGAGAGGGAGGGAGGGAGAGGGAGAGAAGGAGAGAGGGAGGGAGGGAGAGGGAGAGAAGGAGAGAGGGAGAGGGAGGGAGGGAGAGGGAGAGAAGGAGAGAGGGAGAGAAGGAGAGGGAGAGAAGGAGAGAGAGAGAGAGAGAGAGAGAGAGAGGTTGAGTCACATCCACATAACTTTTACTACAGCATATTGTTATGGCTGTTCGATTTATAAATTAAACTATTCATATGTGCATATAGGAAAATGTGGCTTATATAGGGTTTGTCCTATCTGAAGTTTTAGGCACTCCCTGCATTCCTTGGAACATAAGTCTTATGGATCTAAGAGATTACTGTTAACACATATCAATGAAGATTTTTTCTTTGTGAATTTTGTTTGCTATTTTAAATTTAATTAATTTCATGTGAAAAGTGCAGTTATTACGTCCTATTTGTTTCTTTTCTTTGGTAAATCATAAACATTATTTATAGGTATTTCTGCTTTGGTTTCTTTGTCTCTATCCCTCTCCTCTGTAGTTGTGTTTCTCCCCTATAGTCAGTCACGCAGGATTGTCCTGACCTAGACAATCCCTGATGTCTTTTCTGTTTCTACAGTTTTGCCTTTGCTTTTTAAAAATAATTTTATTACCTATATTTCTAGCATACAACATTATGGTTTCATATACACTACATAGTGAAATGATATCTATAGAATAGTTAATATATCTATCATCTTACACAGATGTGCATGGTAACAGCTTTTATGATAGGAGCTTCTGAAATATCTTAGCAAATTTTGAGCATGTAACATCATGTTACCAACTGCAGTTCTCATGTGGCATATCCTTCTCTAGACTTTTCCTCATATTTAACTGGAAGTTGGTAACCGTCAGCCTACTTCTCTCTATTGACTTCCCTTCTTCCTTTCCCTGCTCTTGTAACCACTGTTGCATTTTATTTCTATTTAACCAGCATTTCTTCATGCTTTTTTTTTTGCAAAAGTGAGATCATACAGTATTTTTCTTTCTGTGCCTGGCTCATTTCATTTAGCATAATTTCTACCAGGCTCATCCATTTTTTTAACAAGTGAATAATGATGTAATAATACTTGACCTTCATGAAAGTAAATTTGAAATTTATTTGGAAACTTTATGGGAAAAAGAAGTATTATATAACCCTTTGGCCAAATAAGCACAAGTTAAATCATAAACATTATTTATAGGTATTTCTGCTATCAGCTAAAATAATTTATATCACAGTATATTTATATTTGGATAGTAGTAAAGCAATGAATAAATGCTCAGTAGCAGTGGTAGAAACATTCATATGTTCAGTGAGGTAACGTCCAGGTGGCCGTGTCAAATGGCAGATACTTGGAGGCTGTCAATAAGAGCTCCAAATCAGAGTTCATCAGAACGTTCTGACAAAACACTCCTGTTTGCTCAACCTTTGTACTGCTATCTTCATTTCTTTGTTCCTTAGTGTATAGATGATTGGATTCAAGATGGGGGTGACAGCAAAGTCAGCAATGAACAGGTATTTGTCTATTGATGACGTGGGGAAAGGCCACACATAGAGAAACATGCATGGGGTGAAGAAAAGTACGACCACTGTGATGTGAGCTGACAACGTGACGAGTGCCTTGGATAAGTCCCCTGCAGAACGTTTCCAGACGGTGGCCAGAATGAAGACGTAGGAAAGGATTAGCAGGAAGAAGGTGCCCATGCTCATGAAGCCACTGTTGGCAGCAACAACAAACTCAAACTTGGCCCCATCTGTACATGCAAGTTTAATTATCCTAGGAAAGTCACAGTAAAAGCTGTCTATTTTATTAGGACCACAGAAAGGCAAGTTTATCACAAAAGCAAATTGACACATCAGATAGTGAAGAGGCTTGCAGATTGCAATGTACCTGTCAAACGCCATGGCTATGAGTGGCACCATTTCCACTCCTCCCATGACGTGGATGAAGCATGTCTGTGTCATACAGCTTTGGAAGGAGATTACTTTGTATTCACTTAAAAGGTCTGAGATCATCTTGGGAACTGCAGTAGTGGAAAGGCCCACATCAATGAGGGACAGGTTGGCCAGCAGGAAGTACATAGGAGAATGCAAGTGAGAATCAGCAATGACCAAGAAGACAATGAAGAGATTTCCCAGGATGATCCCCACATAGAGCAAGGAGAATGTCAACGTGAGAAAAACCTTAGTTCCCCAAGAAGTGGAGAGTCCCAGCAACACAAACTCAGAGACCACAGAGTCATTCAGGCCGCCCATTGACTTGTGCACAGGAGTGATTTCAGACCACCTGTGGGTAGAGTGATGAGAACTCAGGATCATTACTACTAACACGTGTCCCTTACTTATCCTTTCAGTTTGTTCTGTAGGTTGCTGATCCTGGAGTCAGAAAACATTGATCAGATAACAAAATGAGAAAGAAATAAAAGAACTATAGGATGAGGAGAGTGACGAAGCAACAAGAGAAAGATTACAGATATATGAACGTCTGGTGGTGGCAAATAGGTTACTTCCTTCTCATTCTATTATTGGACATTTTATTTTGTTTTATGTTTCCAATAACGTGTAGCTATATCTTTTCCATGCCTAAATATCTACTTGTTTTCCCATCCTATTAATCTTAGGTGGTAGAAATTATTCACACGTTGATTCTCCCACATAGCATATAAATTCTCCTTTTCTCAATTTATTTCACTGATGAAAATGGTATTTCTAGACCAACAATTTTAACACATTTTGCCTTGTGTGTGCATGTTTTGTTTCTGTTAGTACAATCCACAATAGGGGTCAGTCATACAGATTAAGATTTTTATGATGTTTAACTCTTGACCCCTTATGATCATTAATGCATTAATTAAAGCATTCATTAATGCTTATGGATCAATAAATTGTAGATACAAAACTGATACATAATTAGTGCTACAAACGTGCTGTTCAGGGGTCAGGCGACCCGAGGGGTCATCGAGTCCAGTTAGGCCATTGATCTTGGCCCCAGAGTCCCAGCTGCTAGGGCTCCTCAGTCCCAGAGGATCCGGCCGCTGTGCAGGCTGAGACGTGGGCTGCAGGGAAGGCATCTGACCTGCCTGTGAAAGAAGCCAAAGCAGCTCGGGCTGAGGCTCAGGGGTGCCCCCTTGAGGGAAGAGGTCAAGGTTAAGGAGGCTGGGGCCCGTGATCCAGCTGCAGAGTGACTGGAGGAGACTCAGGAGGTGGCCGTCCTCCACAGCTCTGCAGGACTGGTGTGAAGTCCTGGATAAGTTCTTGGGCTCCGTCTGTGACAGGAGGCCAGAAGCCCATGTAAACTACCACACAAACGGAGCGAAGTCGGCACTTGTTCCATGGATGGGCATTCCGGTGCCCCCGTGGGACAGGAAGCTTCCGCAGGTCTCAAGCTCTGCTCTCATGACACAGCATTAAATTGTGTCACAGAGGAGGGCTTTTCCTTTGCTAGCTTCTTTGTACAGACTTAGGACTTACCCATAAAGTTCATCTTTCTACTTCATACTTAGACAAATATATATGTTGTATGTTTTCCTTTGCCTTTTAGTGCAAGCAATATATAGGTCAATGTTGATGTTGTCTTTCTTAGTTCTAGTAGGAAAAAACACAAGTATTTGAAAAGAAAAGGGTTAAACAACTGTTCCTCCTATGCTTTCTTCAAGATCAGGGGCTTTATCTACGGAAAAGTAGCAAATAGTTACTTCAATTTATGTGAAGCAGCCGCCAGCCTTAATATCTATTCAGACTAAGGGTGAAAACAATGAATTATTTGTGTAATTATTTAGGCTGTTTTTAGCTTGATAATAAAAGTTACTCGATGATAGAATTTAAGAACTTATCACATGTTTCCAAGTAAAAAAGTGAATTATTCCATTTTCTCCTTTCCTCCCTCTCTTCCTGCCTCCCTTCCCTTCCCCCTGTTTTCACTCTCTCCTTTTCCTTCCTGTCCAATTCCTCTCTCCCTCCCTCCTCCCCTCACCCCCTCCCTCCATTTCTTCCTTCTTTTCTGTCTCCCTCACTTTAGTCTTTTCAAACTTTTTTTTCTTAATATCTTATCTATTTTTTCACTTTTTTCAGGCTAGAATTTAAAAGTTAAAA